GAACTTCAGTATTCTAGGGCTGGAAGCTTCAGCTCGTGTTGCCTGATTCTTGGAGGTCATTGGAAAGTGCCCAAGACTCAAATCTCCTGGAGAAGGGGTTCGGTGGCCAAAAAGAATCAGAGAAAAAAGGGAAACAGCTTGGTTTCTGATTTGAAGCTTAAATATTGTAAGGTGCTCAGATTTCTAGGTTATTTTTCTGTGTTTGGACTGTTGAAGTGTCTGAAATTTCTGGGTTGTTTCTGTACAGCTATTCGACTGTCTTTTAATCTGGTTTAACCCAGAGATTTCTGGGTTGTTTTCACTCCTTTTTGGACTGTCAAAACTGCCRAAACATCCTTGGWTTCAGTGCTGYRAATTRTTGCTTCTTTTTGGCTGTGTTTTGGGGGCCTGTACGAATTGTTCTTGAGACCTTTTTGACCTTTGACAGTGGGGTCTTCTCTATTGTCCACACTGTGTTTGTAAAAAGGCCTCTTCAGCAATACGGACTGGTATTTACTCTTCTTGATTACTTTTTGGTGATTACCTTGAAGTCCCTGCTTAGAAAAGGAACTTCGATTGAGTGCTTAGAAGTTTTCTGATTACTTCTTGAAGTCCGAACCAAGGTTCTACTTCAGTCTTGGTTCTTGCAACTTCCGGGTGTAGTTTGGCCTTGTGTATTGTTGTCTTGAGGTTGGTTGAACTCAGTCCTTGCTCATCCTCATTCGGTACACTTGTAGAAGTCATCTGAAATCATATTTGAAGTGTTTACATGATGAACTCCACAGAATTTGAAAACAAGATTGGTGCTAAATATGGACCGGTTCAGGGGATTCCAGGTGATTCTTTATTGACTGTGACCACAGTTAAACTAGATGGAACTAATTATCTGGCATGGTCACAATCGGTAAAGATTCATATATGCAGTAGAGGAAAGTGGGGGTTTATTTTCGGGAGCAAGAAGGCTCCCCCAGAAGATGATCCATCCTACAAGAAGTGGATGCAAGAAATTACACTGTCATTGGGTGGCTTGTGAACTCAATGCAGCCACAAATTAGCCAACACTACCTATGGATGAATTCAGCATAGGAAATTTGGGACAGTGTTGCAGAAACCTATTCCCAAAAACTAAATGTGTTTAGAGCCTATAAATTGAGAAGTGATGTGAAGAATTTAAGGCAAGGGGAGAAACCTTTAGCTGCATACTTCTCGACCCATAAGTCTCTGTGGCAAGAAATTGACCTAATAGAAACTGTAACTTGGGACACCACCAATGATGCAGAGACTTACAGAAAACTGGTTGAAAGGAACAGGGTGTTTGAGTTCTTAACCGGACTAAACCCAGAATATGATATCACAAAACAGAATATTCTTTCCAAGGAGAGTGTCTCATTGTCACAAGCTTATGCTTTGGTGAGC